TTAAAAAAATGAAATAAATTAATGAATGAAATCGAATAAATTTAGAAGAAAATTTTAGAAAATTTTAGTTTAGTTACTGATATTTCTCATGAAATTGTTTCATTCAAGCAAAAAATCAAAGGGAAATAATTTGAACATTCATGATGAGAGGGAGGGAGGAGAGGTTAATGTAGAATCAAATATTATTTATTATTAGGGCTGTAGTACATGTGATTCCGTTTATACTTGATGAATCAATAGGAACGAACAGTAACAAATGAAGGGACATATATATTGGAGTTACGCCCAATCTGTGATTATTGCTTCAAAAACAAAGGGACGTATGTGCTGGAGATACGCCCCTTCAGTACTTGCTAGTCGGACTTACGTCCATTTGCCACTTCAGAAATTTGTCCACAAAAAACCTTTCATAAGTTGAGAAAACTCCATTTCGAAGGAAAAAAAAACATACGCCCCTTTGGTATTAAGAGAAAAAAAATCTCAGAGAAATGGTACTTACGCCCTGACGCTACTTACTTTGATTTTAATGCGACGATATGAATCTTTAGAAATGTGTTTTCTCCTGCAATTATTATTTTTTATTCATTAAACTACTTCATTGACTCAACAATGTGATAATCGAGTTGATAAAGTAATTTCATAGATAGAAATTAATAATTGTAGTAGAAAATACAATTCTAAGATTTGATGTAGACAAAGGGGTTCCGTCTCTCCTTAAACAAATTCGATTGAATCTAAAACTTTAGAGAAACGTTAATTCTTCGACAGTTGAATCATCAAAGCGTAATCGAAACGTTAAATCCGTATAGTAGATCGAACACTTTAACAAATATGTTCTACGTCAAGTAGAACCCTTCCGGCTCTTTCTGATAGATGTTTAAACCTGTGAGATTATTATTTTCACTATTACTATGCTACCATTTTTCTATAATGAAATAATCTATTGGAGGTTTATTAAGGGGTAATAGAAGGTCACCGTTTTCTTGGAATTTTCAAACAAATTTCCTGCTCAAAGTTTTATTTTTATTGTTCAAAGTGCGAAAATCTACATGATTTATTTACACTGTCTGTAGTGGATTTACAATTTTAGTTTAAACACTTTTTTTTATATTTCATTGCACAGTCATATGTTTATTTTACCTGCTTGGATAAACTTGTGTAAAATATTTAGGATTTTTGGATCTGTAGAACTCAGAAAGGGCTTTATAGAGTTTGTTATTGAGACTTTACATTTTTTTATTTAAATTTTCTAAGAGTATTATCCTTTCCGTGTTAAAATTGGGACCATACCAAAAGATATAATCAATGTCTTGTGTTTCGAACCCACAAGAACAGCTGGCATCATCAATGATATTGCTCAAAGTTATCAATATTTTTTTAACCCAAAGCACATCCCTGATAGATCAAACCCCGAGTTGACTCTGAGTCGACTCTGGGTTTATGGAAAAAACCCAGCGAAGAAACAGAAACTCTGGGAAATTCTCATGAACCCAGAGTTAACCCAAAGTTAACTCTGGGTTTGATTCATCAGGGGTTGATCTTTATCATCGCTTCCTGGAGATTAATGTGCTTTGATTTGTAAAAATACCGATAACTTTCAGCAGGAAATTTGCTCAAAAGTTGGGAAAATTGGCGACATTCCGTTACCCTTTAATGAGAGTATTTTTCACGGGCTGTGGAGAAGATGTAAAACGGTAAAAGTAGCTGCAAGGAAGTAAAGTATTCTATTTAATTCTAGTTTCACATTCTCTGTACAATTAATCATTTTATGAAATCATGTCCAGGAGAATGACTCTCCCATTCAGACATGAATGAATAATTGATTTATTGACTGAAAAAGTCAGGAAAATACTTGAAAAATTATGAGTTAATGGGATAAAGAGGAAAATTAACCTGAAAACTCCAATAAATTTTGAGTGTTCGTTTACGAAAATTCTCGGGAAGAAAATCCTTTGATTTCACGAGACCTTTCAGGGCAATGAGATGGTATTTACCTGGTTGGAATGCCCACGAAGATGAAAAGGTGGTTGGATTATTTGATATTGCCTCGGAAACACCCCTTTTTGTAATGTGTCAATGCTGAAGCAAGTGTCAACGTCAATAGTGAATGGGTCATGGGCGACGTAAATCGATGCTTTCCTCTCGAGATAATGAAGATGTTCTACTTTATCATTGTTTAAGGTGATGTCAGGTGCAGAGAAAAAAATACAAATAATGACTGATGAAACTGAGATGATTCATTAATGCGTTAAAGAATAATTCAGTAGCGGAATGATGAACTGAAAAGCTTCAATTTCAACATTTTATTTAATTATTTATTTATCTCGGGGAAGAGTGATTTTACGAGAAAATGTTAAGAGATCTGTTTTTGTAGCAGAGCAATTTCGAAATTTCGGGAGAGATTTCGATATTGCTCTGCTACAGAAGAAAAAGGTCAGAATTTTCCTCGTAAAATTGCAGATTATTGAGAACTTGACATTTAATAGTATATTCAATTGATACAGACCACATACCTAGATCGAAACAAATCACTTAATTCTGATATTTTTTATCACATTTGATATTTTTGTTACCCTGATTGCGAGAAAAAAAATTATTTTTGCCAAATATCCATTTACTTGAGAGAAGTAGTTATTTTTTCGCTACCATATTTCTCCAGCCGAGAAGTTTCCAGGTAATTCTCATTAGGTTTCCATTATGACGATTTATATTGCTCTAGAAGATGATCATGTTATAGTTATGATCTTGAGTGAACTCCCTCAGTGATTATAAACATTAAAAAATTAATCGAAATTCTTCCCTGTAGAAAATAAGAAATTTAGAAAAATGTCTATCCTTATCCTTATAAGGATATCCAAGTAGTTCGGCCAATTTTTTCCAGTGGGAATGTTTTTCCGAATTCATTAAATAGACCGAGAGTATTTTTTAGGCGCAATATGCTTTGGTTTCCGAATTGTCCTTCGAGAAAACGAATTTTGAAAAATCAAATTTAACACATTGCGTTCATAAGAGCCGTATTCTTCCATATGAGCAGTTCCATCGCAAAACACAAGGCCAAAAAGTCGATGGCAGGGATCTCTTCGCCATTTTTTTTTTCCAAAAAGTTGGTCTTCAAATGAACATAAAAAAATGTGGCGCGAGCCACAAACGAATTATTATTTCGAAATTCATATAACGCGTCTCGAATATTCTATATCGTCGTATTCGAGGCAAACATCATTCTATCCTTGTCCCTTACGAAATTTCTGGACATTCTCGAACCTTCCATAACAAAAGGTATTTAAACCCGCACGCTCCCGACCGAATAGATGAGTCAATGTCAGTCCGATTCTCAAACTCGATGTGAACACATCTAATGTGATAAATCCAGCCGACTTAATTCTACTAAACCACGAGTTATTATTGTACAACGTACACCTAACCGCCACAGAAAAATATATTAAAAATTAAGGAAGTGATGATTTTTTGAAAATTTTTCATTTCTTTTTGGATGAATATTTTTAAGTGATTTTTTTCTCAAATTTTAATTAATATCTAGTTTGAGCGTGGAACTGTCAAATTGGCCTTGGGCATACGGAACAAACGTTGAAATGCTTCAAAATGAAAGACCACTCGTAGTATCTCCTTCAGTTTTTGTGGGTTGTATACGGTAAAAGATGTTTTTTGCTTCCGAGAAGCCTTGTATTTGACCGATTTTTCGATTTTCTAGTTTTGATTGCAAATGATCTAGAATGTTATGAAACGTGAACAAATGTTGTTTTAAGGGTCATATTTGGGTATGACCCTCTGTATGTATGTGACAACTTGTTTTCAATGACAATTATCTCAAAAACCTCTGTTTTTTCAACAAGTTACTCCTCATATCTCCGTTAACTATCCATTCATTCCGAAAAGAATTGATGGAAATGAGAAAGGTCTTTTCGGAGCAGAGGAAATTTCTTCTATAAAAGAGGTCGGGTCGATAATCATTCATTATCGAGAAAATTTGATTTTTAGTAATTGATACAATTGAACACAGCCACATAGGTCGTAACAAGTAACTCCTGATATTTTCGTTAACTATTCATTAATTTCTGAAATAATTACTCTAAATGTGAAGAGGCCTTTCGGAGCCGAGAAAATTTCCTTTACTCGAAACGATCGGACGTTTTCTTCCAAAATTACTCATTATTAAGAGAATTTGATATTAATTTGTGGAGTCACCCAAGTGTTTCAGGGGAAAATGACTGAAAAAAATGAACGGAAAAACCTTCTGTAATCGAAGGAATTTTCTACAAAAAAAAGATTCTTTGAAATATTCCTCTTAATCCCACCTTATCAAGATAATTTCGTATTCAATGATAAATGAAAAATTGACTTGGCGTCATTTCAATCTTCAACAAAATATGGAAAATTGTCTCATTCTGTTGTTGAGTTTTACTGAATTGTTCGTGATCATCAAATAAAGAACTTAAGCACTACGAGGTAATTGCCGTACATTCGTTTATTCACAAATTTTCAAATTTTTCATTTTTTTCATTGGATTCACAGAACATCCAATCACTCACATATTTATAGAGCATTCAGAGTACATTTTGAATAACCCAAATTTAATTTCTTCGCTTACAAAAATAATCTCCTAATGATTGATTATTGATTTTATTCATTTTCCTACATTTCCCAAAAATGTGACAAATTAATCTTATGAAAACGAGTCATCATGCAACGGTGCCAGCGTTATTTATCAATCAAGTTGCTAATAGAGTTTGATACATTTTTCAAATGAATAGTGAATAAATAGAATCTTGGGAAATGCGGTATCGCAATGATAAAAAAAAATCAGACCGACTAAAATCTTTCCCCTTACTGATCTAAAAAATTTTATCTATCACATTTATATGTGTGTGTCGCTTAAAACGTAAGAAAAAATCTTCCGGTATTTCCTGCAATAAATTATAAAAGAAAATGCTATCCAATAAAATTCAGATGTGAAGAATTTCATCTCAATCACTGGCAAGTGTTTCATTTTTTTCGATTTTCTCATTTTTCTCTCGCAATGATGAAAAGCAACTAATTCTGAATCTTCCACTTTCGTATTCTCCTCATTCATGCAAAAATCGAGTACTTTTCGCCCCTAAAAAACATCACTCATCTCTCATACCATTGCATTAAAAAATGATTATTTATAACTATTATAAAAAATACTAACAAATTCTAGGCAACTTGTGTTCCATTCTTCTCAATTTCGTGCCAAACGAAAACTCCGAACTTCCCCTATAATATTTTTTGGTTTACTCCAAAAGTGCAAAAATTTCAATAGAAAAAAAAGAAATTCTACCAAAATTTCGAGAAAAATCAGTAAGTGATATGTGATGACTCGAATCACTCATGACTATTTTCAAAAATGTTTCCACACAACTTTCCCAATAAGAATTTGTGTTCTCTAGGCTTTCTCCCTCGAACAGTTGCTCATCAGTCTTGCCCCACAATCCCCTCCTGAGGATGAATCCATGCTGACAGGGAGGTTCGTTAATGACCCAATTTTTAAATCACCACTTCCATGAAATGATGATGATGATTCAGGCGCTCTCACAGTCATCCTCACAGGCAAGTACATCTGTACTGCGAGGAAGGAGTAGAGCCACGTGTCCATATTTGCTAGTTTTGTACTTTTCTTGAATAGCCTGTTGTGGAATATTGGCAGCTATTGCAAATGTTTTGCTCAGATGTCCAATGCATCCCTTGAGATCGTGAAAGGTGTAGCCAGTGGACAATTCGAGCTCGTGGGGCCACGTCTCCTCCTGGAGTGTGTGACGTGCAACAGCTATGGCAGATGCTGCCAAGTGACTCGGTAAGTACTGGAGATAAGGATCTGCCTCCAGCATTGATAATTCACACAAGTACATTGCCAAGAACTGAATCTTATCGCTCAGATTATTACTGATGCAATAATCCCTGAGGAAAGCCAGTGGCGTTGGAACTGTCAGGTCGAAGGACAAAACCCTGAGGATCAGGTGTTCCATCCTCAACACCTGCTTTTTCGTGTATGTGTCGTCAGTTATGTAGACGAATTCACCGACGTCTGGGGGGTATATTTCCTCGTATTTAGCTGCTATGAACATCGCTGCTGTACCTACCAACTGGAGCTTTGCTCTCACCACACTCATGTAGGATAAAAATCTGTCTATGTAGGAGACTGCTAGGTAGAGGGTTTCAGAGTGTAATCGATATTCTTCAGCTACTTCTACCAACCAATCGACGAGAATCGCTCGCATCGAGTAGGTGATGTCTGGCTGCTTCTTCATGTAGCCGGGTTTTGGCCTGTGTTGAGTCTAGAATAGGAGGAAATTTATTTTCTCATTAGAATAATGCATAATCATCTGTGGATCAGAGAGAGAAAAATTCTGGAGACTTTTTTTTGTGAATTGCGACCTAAAAACAAGTGCTGCACAAAAATGTCACTACGCTGTTAGAAATTTCCAGTAAACGATTGCAATTGAATTCTCAATGTTGTGGGGTTTCATTCAATTTGAAATCACATTATTCATGAAAGTTCCCATTTATCTTGAAAATTCAATAACATTCAGTTTTTCATGGTGAGGTATCGTTGATATTTCAAGAACAGCTTGAATTTTAGACTTTATTATGAAAATTGAATATTAAATTTAATTGAATTTTCAATGAATTGAAAATTCTGTAAAATAATTGCCTGAATTTTTATTATTTTCAATAATTTTCACTGTCGTATGGATCGGGAAATTAGAATTTCATTGAATATTCAAAAATTTTAAGCCCTCAATAAAATGCTAAAAAAATAAATGAGAGATAAAATGCCCAATAATTCAAAAACATGAAGTTTTTCATTTTTGGGGAGACCTCTATTGTAATGGGAGATCCATAAAAAAGCTTCTGTACAAATTCAATTATCTCCATTAGATTGGAAGACAGATTTTTAAAGACTGATGTTCAAGTAAAGTAAGAAAAATTGTGTCATTTTCAAAATCTTTTCTAAAACTTCAAGATGAAACAAAATTTATTAGATTCGTGTATATTGTTCATACAGTATTGAAGATAGAAAATGGAGGAAATTAGGGAATTTAGAAAAAGAGAGGAATAAAAACGCCCCATAATTCGAAAGTAATAAAATAAACAGCACTTATGTACCTCGGCAACCCTCAGGTAATTGTAAATGTCCGCCCTGTACTCATCCACATCATAAAAATTACTCTTGGAGACCTTAGTTGCCTCTCTCTTGGCCCTCAGTCCCTTTTTCCCGGAATCTGTCAGGCAAATGGACTTCTCGAGAGACAGAGGACTGGCTCGGTTGAATAATGGTATATCCTTTTCCTTTTCCTTTTTCTCATTCCCAATCTCCCCGAGGACCGGTCTGAATGGTGGCACAATGCTCACCGACGTCAACTCGACATTTTTCGCACGTGTCGAGTTAATCGCCACCTCTGTCGCTTTTTTAACTTGAATTTCACGTGTATTTCGAGTTTCTCGGAGTACAACCTGAGTTTCTTCCTCGAGTTTATCCTCGTAGATCTTGAAGGCACCCTCGTCTTTCTTGCCATCGTATACTTTGAAGCCGTCGTAAGGGGGTGGAATGAATGTGGTTTTCGATTTTGAGAATTTATCCTCTTTGTTGTTGATTTCCTTTGAAGAAAAAATAATATTATTGTTAATCACACAAAATTTGATGAATTCAGTAGGGGAGAGTGGGGCAAAGTGGAACGTTTATGATCGACTTTCAATCTCCATATCTTTCTTCGTAAATAGATACTGGGACTTTGAGTTCATGACAAATATTCCACTTTGACCCATCTTCCTCTATTGAAGTTGTACGACAAGTCCTCTTCAATTACGAAAAATTTAGACTGTCTCAATATTTCACTATATGAAGAGGTTCATCGTATATCATGAAGGGTCGGAATGAATGTAATTCATTTCATATAATTCAGTAGTGAAGTGGTATAAGGGTTTAAGTCGACTTATCTCCCAGTTGAATTGTTGAGGAATATCTCCGAATCTAAGGGAGATAGCGAAAGTTTCGTAATTACATTTGTTGTAGTACTCAATCGGCTCCACAAAAAAGGTTATAACAAAAATTTTGCTATCTCCCTTAGATTCTGAGATATTGATTAAAAACTGGTCAATAGTCAACATTGACTTATACCGTTTTATTTCACTACTGAATTAATGCTGGATTTTTCCTTTCAAATGAAATATAGGATGAGTCGATGTGAAGGTCAGGATGTTGACAAACATTTTCGAATCAGAGAGAGACAGGGATGATTTTCCTCAGTACCTCACATCAGATGATCGTTTGGTTTACCAAAAAAGTATATATGAAAATTCTGCTATCCCTCTATTTCCTGATTCATCCCGTTTCATCACTCCACTGTATAGAGTAAAAATTAAATAAAAGACACTTTGAAGCCATCGTAAGCGAGTGGAATAAACTTTGCTTCGAACTTTGAGAAGTTATCATCTCTGTTGTCACACAATGGGATCATGATGGATTCCATACCTAAATGGGATCATGATGGATTCCATACCTTCGAAAATGTTTCAATTAGCAGAAAAAATTATTTGAAGTCAAAATAACAAAACAAAGAATAATTCTATTAAGAAATAGTCGAATACAGCCGAAACCTCTAATTTCTGAACGACTGGGGCATATTTTTTTATTTATTAGGGAAGGGTGGGGTAAAACGGACACTTTAGACTTTTTTAAAATTATTCATAACTCAGAAACAAATTGATTAATTGAGCTCAGTTTAGGCTTGTTACAAAGGGAAAGAATAGTTCTTTGTAGTGAAAAAGAAAATTTTTAAATTTTATCAACATTTCAACCCCTCATTAATATTTTTAAAAAAGTCAAGTGCCCGTTTTACCCCAACCTCCCCTAAATGTCGATCAACAGAAAAAATAATTGATCCCATGATTACACACGAGTAATATTATTGAAAGGCGGAATAATCTGTACAACGTTCATTTTATTATTTATGGAATATTCAATGGAGGTAGAAATCGTCCGAAAACTACCTCCCGTCCAAAAATTGACCTGTTTACCCGACTTAGAAGCCATCGTGAAGGATTGGAAAAAATGTTCTTTCTTCGCTTGAGCTTTTATCATCTTTGTTATCAAATAATATAATAAATCGAATAAAACTGATCAACTTTAGTAATGGAGTTGTGAGACACGACGAGTCGCCTCGACTGAAGGTCAAGATTTTCATAAACATCTCGAATTCCGAGAGAGATAGCATTATTTTCCTCAGAATCTTATTTGCACAGGGCGAGAGGACCCACGGAAAGGCACGAGCTACCTCTCCTCAATTCCGCAATATTCACGAAGAACTGAACCCGCAGAAAAATTCATTCACCCTCGTTTCACCGTTTATCACACGAAAATTCCCATTGTATACATTGAAGCCAATAATAGAGACAATCGACTGAAATTAAATATCTTCGAATCTGAGAGAGATAGGATAATTTTCCCCATGGGGTCACGTGCAGAGAGAGCCATCGGACCCAACAGTGAAGCCCCCATAAATATTCCGCTATCTCCCGTCAATCGGAATATATCCATCCAAAACTGAAATCTTGGAAAAATTAAACATCCTGGCTCGCAAATCCTCAAAAAAAATCAAATGGAAATTCGTGAAGGACGACACATACCACCTCCCCCCGAATTTACTCCCGAAAGAAATTCCCCAATTTCCGTTTTCATCAAGGCCACCTGAATTCCCCAATAATCTCCAAAATGGAATAAATCAGAAGGTCACCAAAGAAGTAAATAACGAGTGTAAACAGAGAATTAAAATCCCAGCCCAACGGCCCCTGGAAAATGAAAGCGTGCTAAAGGCGGGTGAGACTCACTGGCTTGGCCCTGTGGCAGTTGTTATGCAGGACGCCGAGAACCGCACGTTTTTGCTGTCCTAGGCCACCCTGATGCTCCCTGAGTCCACCATTCTCCTTTCCTCTCCTGGCATCGTTGATACGATTCTCCTGATCCTCGTGCACCCTGATCGTGGCCATAACTATCTCCAAAAAAAATCGTTATCTCGGCTTCCTCACGTCTCCTGTGCCCCCCAAAAAAATTCCTCGTCGTTGCTGGGTTTCTCGAAATGTCCTCTCCAACCTGACTAATCAGTCCTCTAGGCACGTGAAAGCTCAGAGACTATCAGCGAATTATTTTCAACGAATGTACATCACGGTGGCGAGGAAAAATCCGAGGGATTGGTTAAAAAAAAATTTTTGGACGATCAGGACACCCGGAAAAACCCTCCAAGCCCCCACTTCGCAGCTACACACTGTCCGTTTGGATTATTCAAACAACAACGTATCCCAAACTGTCCAACAGCTGTCGGTAGGTAGGTTCGTTCGTTATATTCACATTTGACTTGAAAGTCGTCCAATTGAAGGGGAGAAAATGAGAATCGACCAATGGAATTCGAGGGATTTGAATGGGCGGTGTTCTGGGGAAAGGAGTGGGGAGATTTGCGCGGTTGACTGAGAGCCAATCAGGCGAGGCTATTCCTGAGAATTATGTGGAGGGGGGCGCCTCACCTGTTTGTCACTGTCCCAATTGGTAAAGAAGAGGTTTTCATCATCGATGAACGACAAATGTCCCTAACCAATTGTTTTTAAACTTCAAAAAATGTTGTTAATGGGTTTTTGAGGGGTTCTCCAGCTTCTGGAATTGTGTTTCGGGATCTCAGGGGGTTTGAGGTCATGTTAATAATTTTTTTGGCCCTTCGGGGGGCGAGGATTAGGGGCAAAGTGGTTAAAACAATTCGGAGCAATTGCGGAGTGTCAGAGGGAATTCTTCACTGGAATGTTGGCACGTCATCAACACGTCAAACTTCAGAAGGTGTACGAGTCCGGCCAGCTGCGGTGATTAACCCGTGAACAAGTGCGATTATATACAATTTTACAGTGGGGTGTGAGCAACCCCGGTGTTTCAGAGATTTTTTAATCATCAGAATAGACGCGTGATTGGGATATTAAAATTATTTATATGATTTCGTGATAGATTCATTGATAAAATGGGTGAGTTGAATAGTGTACATGTGTCATTTTTTGGAGTGAATGATGTCACAACTTTCGTATCACATCAGAATTTTTTGTTAATTTGTTTGCGGCGAGTTTTTGGGGGTGGATTGAGGGGTTGTTAATCGTTTTTGTGGATTTTTCGGGCAGGCGGATTGCTGAGTTACTTTCGGAATCTCCTGGGGAGTCGGGAGATGAGGATTCTCATCCTTGGACTGGACGGTGCTGGCAAGACGACGATTCTGTACAGGTCGACTATTTTATCTGTCTCTGATCTTGATTTTGTTTGAACAGTGATACGAGGCCAGTGTAAATCACTGGAGGAGCTCTTGGATATTTTTAACTGTTGGATTTTGTTGCAGACTCCAGGTTGGAGAGGTCGTTACTACGATACCAACTATTGGGTTCAATGTTGAACAAGTCACGTATAAAAACCTCAAGTTCCAGGTCTGGGATTTGGGGGGACAGACGAGCATTAGGTATGGAATGTTGTTAGAATTTACATTGAGAAAAGAAAAAACATTTCTTCGGATAGGGTAAACGCACCAGTGTTCGAACTCGTTCAGTGATTGAACTGATTTAGGGGAGAGTGGGGTAAAATGGACACTTTAGACTTTTGTTTTAATTACTCATAACTCAGAAACTAATTTATCAATTCAGTTCAGTTTAGACTCATCACAAAGGGAAAGAATTGCTCTTTGCAATGAAAAAAAAATTATTAAATTTTATCAACATTTCAAACCGTCATTAACATTTTTTAAAAAGTCAAAAGTGTCCATTTTACCCCAACCTCCCCTATATATTTATTGTAGAATAAATACTCAATGCAGTGAAATAGGGCTTTTGTCGGTTTAAAAACCATTATGAATAATGAATAATTTTCATGAATTCAATGAGACCTGGTGAAAATTTCCCACATTATTGAATCTTGGTCTTTCGAGCATTGGTAGGGTAAGCTACCCAGTAGATGGACACTGCCCTATAGATGGACGAGCTACCTTTAGAGAAGAAATTACGCAAAAAAATGTTGAAATGTGAATTGTTGCTTTGAATTTTCACCAAGTGTTGTGATTTTTAACCCCTGAATGGCGATTGTTTTTCGATCAATTTGTTTTCAATTGCTAAAAAACAAACGTCCATCTACTGGGCGGTTTTTTTAGGCGTCTATCTACTGGAAAGTTTACCCTATTTGACGACTTATTCGTTTGAACACTGGACAGTTCACCCTAAGTCTTGAAAATTACCCAGAGTAAAGAATCTCGGGCTGAATAATTCTCAAGAGTCCTGAGATGAACAATTTTTGTTGCGAAAATCGATTTAGTTGTTCCAAAAAATTGTTATTTTCTGTGCAAACAAGGAATTGTCTTATGTCAATGATTTGCTTTTCAAATCAAATATTTCGTTGTTGAAGGCAGAGAGATTATCCATATTTCAAACTCTTGTGTGTTCATATAAAACGATATTTTAACTTGTTTGTGGCTGTTATTGGGAAGGTTTTGGTATTGTTATTTATCGTGGTTTTTATGTCTAGACCTTACTGGAGATGTTACTACTCCAATACAGACGCTATTATTTACGTTGTGGATTCAGCAGACAGGGATAGAATAGGGATATCCAAGGATGAGTTACTCTACATGCTCAGGGTAAGACACAAGATAATCAAGTTCTCATTTTTTGTAAAAAAAGTATTGTTTTAATGAAAATACAGTTTTAAACATCAATTTAATTGTGAAGTGATAATAATCGACCTTCAAATATGTAAGTTGCTCTTCTCCTCAGAAGTGAGTGATTTTTGGGGAAAATGTCACGTGACCTTTCATTAATAGGTGACATTTAACAAAATGGAGAATTCAATTTGTACATGAATCATTATCTGGAATGAATTATTTTCATGAACCAACAACTTGAATGCCAATTCCGCTGTGAAGTAATGTCTGACATTCGAATTTAAATTCTTCAAAAAACTTTCTTTTATCTTAGAAATTAGTGCATCTATGGGAAAATGCCCAGACATTTTTTAGCTGAAAAATTTTCTCTAAAAATATCAAGATAATCCTCCATTCATCCAGATGAAACATTTGGCGTTCCAAATCATGATAAGTCGATTTTAAATAATAAATAACCTATCAGGATTCCAATTTTTATTTTCTTTACTGTTTATCTACCCCAGAAATGAGTGGTTTGAGGAGAAAATACCAAGAAACCTACTTCTAATTGAAACAATTTCCAACAAAAACTATCTCTTGACATTTTCATCTAGCATCATTCTTCAGGATAATTCAGTATTTAATGGGATAGGAAGATAATCATGAGTCAGTCTTGGCACTTTTGTTATTGTTCATTTATCTAGGAAAAAAAGTAGGATAAACAGTTCAATTTCTGGACGGGAGTTAGTTTCTGGACGATTCCAACTTGCATTGAATATTCTATAAATAAAATGAAAATTGTACTGATTATTTCGCCTTTCAATAATATTTGATAAATAATACATTTAATAAATAAAAAAAAATATGGCCCAGTCGTCCAGAAATTAGAGGATTCGGCTGCATTCAATTATTTTTTAATCGAATTATTCTGTTTTGTTATTTTCACTTCAAATAATTTTTTTCTGCGAATTAAAATATGAAGGTATGGAAGCCATCATATCTCCATTGAGGTGATTCTTTCATTTTAGATCCTACCACGAACTGGAATTTCCCTTAACCGCCCAGCAATTGGCCTGTTCACCCTAGTTTTATGAGAAAATTTCGATAAACTCTTTCTAGTTCCCCAAAGTTCTAACAAAACTATGTCTTCACCATTTCTCCTAAAATTACTCATTATCAAGATAATCAAATGTTGATCAAGACATGAAAAATTTCTTGTAACAGTTAACGACTTCACTCCTGATTTTTTATTCATCCGACGTCCAACGATTAAAAAAATTGATTAACGACGATTAATTTTCCAGGAGGATGAACTCCAGGGAGCGATTCTAGTCGTCCTGGCTAACAAACAAGACATGCCAGGATGCTTAAGTGTAGCTGAAGTTCACCAGGCACTTGGTCTAGATGCTCTGAAGAACAGAACATTCCAGATCTTCAAAACATCAGCGAAAAAGGGAGAGGGGCTCGATCAGGCAATGGACTGGCTGGCGAATGCACTGCAAAGCAGAAAATGATTCGTTATGAACACAGAAAGAATCAATTATCTCTGCGATGAGGGGGAAATTTTTGTAATCTTGCATCATCGAAGGAAAAAAAAACATTGTGCGTGGGGATTCAGTTATTTATTGATGATTGAATGATTTATTGAATGAATCGTGAATGGTGATGGCTTTGTGAGTGAATGCGATAGGTTTTGATGATATGATGCCCACTAGAAGTCAAATCAATAGACAATATTTTCCTTTATCCACGTAATTCTGGGCTTGGCTTGAGTAAGGGGTAATAAATTCCTCATTCACATTTAGGGGATTTTCTAAATTAAATAAGACCCTTTCTTTCCCAATATCTTGAGGATTTATCGCTCCACCTCAACTCAATCCCAGAACTTTTATCTTCATTATAATTACTTCTAATTGTTCGTCTTATTTTCTTTTCTATCGAGTTATTTTTGAATGTCTGGGTGATACTGAATGCCAAATGTGGGTTAGATAAACTGAATAATATAATTCCAATTGATCTTCGTGGATTAAATTGACATACTGGGTAGATTTTTGATAATCCATTCCTTTGAAAAAAACGAAAATTGAAAAAACAATTATGAAAAACTGGGCCTGCTGTAACGGACCAAAAACCAAATGCAATTAAAAATAATGATCAGTCTATTTTATCGATTTTGTTCTGCCCGAGCGATCGAGCAGTCGATGGTTCAGTGAATAATAAAATTGATCAAAATGAAAAAAATCTCACCTTTAATCACCAATCAGAGACCCCAAACCGATCGATCCTCTTCATCTGTGTGTCCAGCTCCATCTGGACCTTCTTCCTCATGTAGAAAATAGGACAATCACGACTGGTGCAGAGTACCTCCTGATGAAGACTCCCCTGGCACCTCTGGCACTCTGTCCACAACCTGCAGAACTTCTCCTCGAGTTTTCTCCCAGCATACAACTCAGTCTGATAGTAATCAATCTCTTTAGGCTGGCAGTATTTGCAGAGTGCCATTTTCTCCCTCTCAGGGGGTAAAACGGATTTGCAACCCATGCAAGTCTCCTTCTTCTTGGTGAATGCAGCCAGTGCCCCGACTCTGGACGTAACAACAGCTTTGGTTCTCGTGTGCTCCCCCTTAAGAAGAAGCGACTCAGCTTTGTCCCCCAGAATTGGCTCAAAGATACGAATCAGAGGCTTCGCCAATTGATTCTCCAGGTAGTAATTCGTGTCAATAGGGATACTATTCTCCAGCACGTAAATCGGATCCTCGGCTTTCATGTAAGCCGGTGTTCCCTTGGCTGAACTTGTAAAAACATAAGGAACACGATCTCCCAGTTTTGGAGCAGTTCCAGCATCTCGTTTCTTCATCTTGGCTGCCAACTCCACGTGGGCCTGTTTGGCAGCATAATCAGTCTTCGTCAACTCCTTCGTCACGACTAACTGGGAAATATCAATTCTGTTGCAGAGTAGATCACTGATCATCTGTTTAGCGTAGTCCAACGCCTCCTCAGGATTCCTCTCAATCAACAATTTCTGCAAGCAAGTATTCATCATGTTGGCGACGAGAGGACAATTGTCCCTCCTCACTGTCTCCAACCCCTTGCAATCCATCTTGTCGTACTTGTCAGGTCTCGTGAAGTACAGCCCAGCATACCTCTTCTTATTAATCAATAAATAGGGGAAGTAAACTTTCTCAAATTCCAACTTGATTGGCTTGATGAATTTCCCAGAGACATACTCAGCAGCTTCCTTCCCCAGCTTCATAGCTTCCTCGATCTCTTTCACCCCAAACTTCACCATCACCGAGTCAGTGTCGCCATAAATGACATTAGCATCGTGCTCATACCCATTCTTAATGCAAAATCGTTCTTCAACTTCTTGCTTTGTCTTCTCAATCATAGTTCTTCCAAAAGCAGTGACTGAAGCAGATATCTCCAGACAAGGAAGCTTCCCCACTTGAGCCCCAGTGAATCCATAAACCGAGTTAGCAGAGACCTTGAGAGCATACTGTCGTCCATCAAGTACCTTCTGCTTGAGTGGATCGGTCTCGTTCTTGAGCTCAGCCTTGGCCTTCTTCCTGGCACTCAGTAGATTCTCCAGAATTTCTGGTAATATTCCTTTACGAACTGTTTCCTTCGCGAATAACGAGTTGGATGGTGTCTTCGTGACCATTTCATCACTGAGATTGTACTTGTTCTTCGTCTGAATGGTCAACAAAGTCGTGTAGCAGATGTTGTGGGCCATGATGATGCTGGGGTACAGAGAGCTGAAGTCGAGAGTCGCAATTGGATCGTTGTAGAATCCTCTTTTGGGCTCCAGAACAGTTCCACCGTCGTACTGCTCCTCTGACCCCTGGCCCTGGTGCACAGGCATGAGATAATCTCGTTCTCGAGCGTGTCTCAACAACTGAGAGACAACCTTGATCTGTTGTCCACGTGTGAGGAGACTGGCGAGGGTGACACCAGTCACCCTAGCCATTTCCATGTAGATGATGATGCACATGAGCTTGTCCAGCAGTCTCAGTGGCAAATAAGCATCCTTCAAGCAGTAAACAGCTAATCGTCGACGAGTCTGGGCGTCACCTGCCTGCAGGTCTGATATTATACTGTGATGAACGTCCTCCTTCTGCTCCTGGAGAAAGTGGTAGCTCACAGCGTTCAACGAGTAAGATCTAAGCTTGTAATCTCGTACGAGAACTAGCAGTAGATCGAAGGGCACTCTCCCCTCAAAATTCACTGATTTATTCTCCCTCCTCCCCATCTGCTTGCTCTGCAGCACCTGGTCCTTGATGACACTCCTTTTATCCTTAATCCTCCCCAAAAATGCAAAGTTCCTAACACCCAGGTGCTGGGCACGATTAATTAAATAAGGAAAATCGAAGTTGTTGATGTTGTAGCCAGTCAATATGTCGGGGTCCAGCTGTCTCACGAAGTCCGCCCATTTTTCCAGCATCTGTTTCTCGGTCCCGAAACTGAGGACCTGGCAGCCTAGAATCGGTGCACACGTGTCTAGGGTGAAGATATTTCTGAGGAAGGGCTCGGGGTCGCCTTGTCTGATGACCATGTTGGCGATCTGGATGACAGGGTCGTGGTTGGGCTCAGGGAAGATGCCTTTTCTCCCTGCACACTCGATGTCGAAGCTCAGAATTCTGAAGGGAGCCACTTTGGACCATTCTCCCTCTGGTGCGTGGGAGACGAATGCGTCCCAGGCGACGTCAACTTCCAGTTGACATCTCGCTGTTACTGGCATTCTGTGGTCGAACTTTCCCCTGATTTTCCAGGTACCAGGGGGCAGCTCAATCCAGGAACAGCCGACCACTGAGGTGTCCACCATGAATCTTATGTCAATGTCGATGTTGCTCTCGAAGGCTCTGTACTCGTGGTGGAATGCTGAGTAGACAACCTCTTTCTCGAGGAGTCTCTTGCAGGCTGCCACGAGACGAGGGAGGGCAACTGTTATCTTCAGGAAGGGGGTCTTCTCCTCACCACAGTATCCATACATGTTCTGCTTGTGGACTATCTCGACAGCCAGGACTGCATCCATCACGTTCTCTGGGTTTGATCTCATGTCCTTTTTTACAGCTGTGTCCAGGGCCTCTTTGAAGGGCTTGCAGTGGTTGTTGGTGAAGTTGGGAGGGGCTGAGACGAAGAAGTAGGGACAGAAACCGTGCACGTGGCAGCAGACTGAGTTACCCTCCATCGTCACTCCGAACATTCGCATTATGGGGACTGGGCCGGTTTTGTTGCCTGGCATTCCCACCATTGCCTGGCCAGTGTAGTGGTCTATCTCGATTTGCTGGAATGATAGGGTGTCTTTCGAGGGATTGAAGTCTAGGGGCGGTGGACGTATCCATTTTGACGTCGTGTTCTCCTGTTCGGGACCCTAGGTTTGGAATTCGTGATTAGTGTTTTTTCTTTATTTCGGGGGTGGAAGGAACGATGTTTTTATTTAACTAGCCGTGCTTGCGGGGGCTGAAAGTGTATTAAGAATTAAATGAAATGCATGTGGAGTTTTAAATTGTTATGGAAAGATGGAGTGAAACGAGATCAGTCGAATCGACTTGTTGGGAAGTTTTTCATAAATATATGTCAGCCCAAGAGATTATCTATATTTAGTTTCAAAATATGAGTCAACGGCTGACCCTTATTCTTTCGATTTTTTCGGCGATTGGAGGACTAGAAAAACTATCTCTCAATTTTTTTCAGGTTTTTTCAACAGCCAATTTCAAAGATATGATTTTTTCTCTTTTTTTCGTTTTTTATCAATAACTCGGGTTCTATTCAGCTGATTTGAATTCATGATGGCTCAAAATTATCCATTTTCTACCATCTATAAGAAGATAGAATAAAATAGAATTAAAAAAGTGCGGCTGGTCACTTAAAGCGCCCAGAGTCACCTAAATCATACGATCTTTTGTAACTTCCGCCTTAGTTTCGGTCAGTCACACAGCCCCAGCCCTGTGTTTCTCACTAGGCTAATAAGGCTGGTGACAGCCGCTTGTTGTAAGTCCTCTGGTTTCAGGAAAGCCTGGCCCCAGATTTTATAGCGACGGAGTGCTAATAGGGGGCATTCACATAAAATGTGGATGACGCCCTCCTTATCGCCTCCGCACAGTCTGCAGTCTATCTATAAGAAGATTTAGGGGAATTGTTTTTCAATTCCTAAGTGCTCAAAATACCGAATTTTCAAAATTATGTCACCTTTTATTTTTCTCGTCTTTTCTTCAGTAACTCTTATAATCAAAACAAGTATTTTAAGCCGTCATGCAAGTTCATCTTGGATCTATTTTATCTTTAATTTTTTCTTCTCGAAATTCCGCGAATTTGGTCAAAACCCCCCAAAACGACTTCGATTGTGTATCGAAAAAATATGTAATATATAAGTATACATTTAAATTCACTTCATACTGTTTATAATCAAAATCAATTAACGCCATTTTGAGAATGAATTTCGAGAAGAAAAAATGGAAAATAAAATGGATCCAGAACGAAAGCCCACCTGTATGATGGCTCAAAATACTTGTTTTAATTACAAGAGTTACTGAAAAAAGTCGAGAAAAATAAAAGGTGACATAATTTTGAAAATTCTAGTTTTTCAACTTTTTTGAAAATTCGGTATTATGAGCATCTAGGAGTTGAAAAAAAATTACCCAAAATATTTTTACAGATGGTAGAAAATTGAAAATTTTGACCTGTTATAAATTAAAATCAGATGAAGAGAACTGGAGTTATTGAAAAAAAATGAAAAAACAAAGAAAAAATCATATTCCCGGAATGGGCTGTTAAAAAAATCTGAAAAAAATGGAGAGATAGTTCTTCTAGTCCCCCAATCGTAGAAAAAATCGAGATCAATTTCCGAGAGAGTGAGGGCCAGCCGTTGACTCCTTTGACATGGCATACTTCACTTTCACTGCATAACTTTAATTCTTGGGTTTTATTATTCTGATTACAAGTTGAAATAATGTTTGAGTTTGAAAAATGGAATCAATTAATGAAGTGGGAGGCTGTTTATGGCATTTACATGGTGTCTAGCTCTACAGCAGAAGTAAAGACCCTAGTGGCTTGAAAACAATAAAAAAAAATTTTTAATATAAAAAGCAAATGACTAGTACACAAATGGGTGGTGATAATGGATTATCACTCAGAAAGTGGTAAACTCACTCGTTGTCGCTTTCTAGGGGCAAAGTGACTTGTGGAGGGCTAGAATTCGAGAAAAGATTGGTAAAGATCCTGAAAGAATTTTAGATATTCAAGTATTGAAGAATAAAGTGAATTGTGGAATAAATTTCAGGGGAATCATCTCACCTGTTCATCAGTGATGATTTGAGAGATATCTCCAAAGTCTTCATCCATCATGGTGGCCAGTTCCGCCTCGAAAGAGCCTGGCAAGTCGTCCTCGTCCTCATCCTTCCTGAAAGCCCAAAAATGTTCCATCAAGATGTTGTCAATTCTTTCTTTTTTTTAATTATTTTTTTTTTAAAGGATGGAAATTGCCATGCACTCGTCTTCAAGGTTAAGGGAGACGTTATATTTTTTGAGAATTGTCCTATCCATTGTTGTTCAATCTTCGAACCTAGAATCCTCAGCAGTCAAACAATGAAAAAAAAGTTGTGGGTGCATGTTAATTTCAAGTCGTTAATTATTATAAAAAATGCAAGTCTAAAATTCAACATCTTCAAAAGGATCTGTTAACTTTCAATAGATTTAGTCATGGTACTCACCCGAATTTACCCTTCTTCGCTGGGCCCTGTGACGACCCAAATTGTCGTTTCTTCATGATTCTTAATTATTAATTTGTTTTCGTTAAATTGAAGTTTATTTCAGGAATCTAAAAGCCAGTGCAATAACTTTGACCGCGAAAATCGGCGTCAACTGACAAATTTAGTAGTAGTGGCGCATGAAACTAATCGGACGATCCGTTTGTTGGTAAAGCAGACGAGTATTATGTACAGCTAATGGTGTCTCCTTCGATTTGAGCGCGGGAAATGTTGACCGTGATGAGGCGGAGAAAATTTTCGGATTCTAAGCGAAGAATAAGGATGATCATCCATTTTCCAAAAATCTAATTTGATCGTGTTTGTGAAAATGGACACTTCAGACTTTTTTAAAATTATTCATATCACTCAGAAACAAATGTGTCAATAGAGGTTAGTTTAGGCTCATCACAAAGGGAAAGAATTGTTCTTTCTATTGAAAAAAAAATTATTAAATTTCATCAACATTGCAACCCGTCATTAACATTTAAAATAAACTCAAAAGTGTCGATTTTACCCCAACCTGCCCTAAAAGTTAATGGGGGAACGTATAAAACAAAGTGTTTCGATGATTAAGAAATCAGTTGCCACAGGTTTGATAAAATGAAATACAGTCAAGGCTTTATATAAGATACCTTAGGGACAGTACACTGAGAAAAACAATTATTGTTGCCAAATATTCATTTACTTGAGAGAAGTATTTATTTTTTCAATACCGCATTTCTCCAACCGAGACGTTTCCAGGCAATTCTTATTAGGTTCAATTATGATAATTATATTGCTCGAGATCATGATCTCTATGACCATGTCAGTTATGATCTTGAGGGAAGTCCCTCAATGATTATAAAAATTAAAAAATTAATCAAAATTTTTCTCTGTAGAAAATAAGAAATTTAGAAAAATGAATAATCATTCGAGGAGTTCATCCGAGATCATGTGCAACATAGTCATCCTCTAGAGCAACATGATTGTTACAACTGAAACTTAATCAGGCTCCTCTGGGAATGACTCGATTGGAGAAATACGATTATGGAAAACTAATTGCTTCTCTCAAGTAAATGAATATTTGGCAAAAATAATCGTTTTTCTCAGTGTGGGAGTGGAATTCCGGTAATCCGTATACCCCCATTACATGCGCTTATAGAGAGGAGAAGACTAGGTCAGCGGTTTGAAATAAGATACCTCGCTCGTTGCGCCTGAATTCTATGGAATTTTCATTTTTACTGAATGGATATTGATAACTGATTCAGGGATCCTCATCAATATTAAATTTCTGTAATATTACAAGGATTTGACCTTTACATTATTGGAGGTTTAAAATATGTTGATTCAATTTTTCAAATAATATAACATTCGAATAAAATTAATTATCTGATTTTTTACGAATAATGATATATTTAGAATTTGTTAATATGACACTGTAAATTTACTACTAAGTGAATAATTCAAATTTCTTGAAAGGGGATTTTCGATTACACAAGTAATCGTCAATCTTCCTACCTCAAATTATTGATTGATAAAATAGTTGAAAATTTGAATATTTGAATTGATCATACTTAAGTACTCAAAGATTTTCAAGAGTGTTGTTATCTAATTATGGGCTGCAATATTAGCTGTAAGAAAATATTATAAATTTGGGTATCCCTGAACTGATTAATCTATACGAGTTTAATATTTTGAATTCCTATAGTCCGCATTCCCTTTTCTCTCTAAACATAACCCCGCGTGATAGAGTGGCAGCTGATGTTGAGGGATTGTTGGGGGACTCGAGAATAATCACTTCTGAACAGCTGAAGTACAAATTATTGAAAGTAAATAAATTAATTGAATTTTAATTAGGTTTTATTCTTTTGATCCTAGTGTAACGTTCCGACGTTGATTTTCATAGATGGCTCTATAAATCGGCCATAATAGTCCGCGAGATTGAAATTATTAGTCGAAAATAATTTTAAAATGATACTTTGAGTGCAATATACTGAAAAAAATTGAGAATAGAAGGGACAATGAACAGAGGGCGAAAATAACTTCACAAGCGTGAGAAAAAAAAACGTTGCAGAAAAGTCGTAAACGTCAAGTACTTCAGTTTTATTATAATTCAAATTTATTGTTCTCCAAAATTCGTCACAGAAAGGCTTTTCATGAAGTTCTGGAATATTTCGAAAGTTCTCTGTTTCATGTGGTCCACACGTGTTTGGGCACTCCTTTGTTCATTCTATCATTATGCTGAGGGCCCGAGAGGGTTCCAGATTGGAAAGTCGCGACGTTGCGCGTTTTTCCTTTTCTCCCTCTGTCGTTTTCCATGTTCTCTTATGGGTTATCCCTCTTCCCTGTCCGCTGGGCCAGGTTTGCGCGCGCAACATTTGGTCTAATGGGGGTCTTGAAAGCCAACCCTTAGATTTTAAGGGTATGTTAAGTTACTCCCCAGTAGTCCCATCGTAGCTTTTGTTCCGACAACTTTTGGAGCTTCTCTCTTCAATTAGTTTTCATTAAAGTTTACTTAGAGTTTTCATAAGTTTATTGAGTTTGTAGTTCACAGTTTAAAGTTTTTTTGAGTTCAAAAAGTTTAATAAATAAAGTGTTAATATGCTCTCCTAAGCACTGGTCTAATGGATTTATTTCAAAAATAAACCTTCAACCCAATTATTCCGTCGCGAACGGGTCAACTTCGATGGAGTCCTCATTAGAGGTTTAGCAGCTAACGTATCCACTCTTCAAGTTTGGCGCTCAATATTTCAAAAAGCGCCACTCTGTGGTCCTAGTAACATCGACAGGACATAACACTAGTCTGGTCACCAAATGCGTCCCTGCGGTTTTGGTCACCTCCGCGGGGATTCCCCGCCGTGTTATTTCGACCCTAGCGTTTCCGAATTCACTCCACACTGCCCGAGCGCGTTTAGCGAGTTTTCAGCAACGTCGAGTCACGGGCAATTTCATTTAACATGGGAAAAAATAATTCATCTGTTCGAAATAATTTTTCTTTAGGAATTTTGGGAAATATGTTGTTATAAAAACTACTATCATTTTTTAGACACTTCAATTGATAGTCAAATTTTTTTGAATTTTTCCGGTTAGCCAGTCAATTATAATTAAAGAAAAACGGCGCGTGGCGGTTTTCCCTAATAGGGTGACCAATCTAGGGTTAAGATAATTCTGCGTCATCATTTTAATAATTATAGCGTCGAAGAAAAGCGGTGACCTTTGGCATCGTTTAACCCTTCTTGCAATGAGTTATTGAAATTATTCGAATATCCCGCGCCAACCGATCTCAAAAATATTGGAATAATTTAGTAAATTGACGAAATGTGTCGTTTGTGATTCGACGAGTTACTTCTCACCTCACGCGAGACACCTCGCTCTCTTGCTTCTCAACCGCTGGCATGACCGGTCAGTCAATTATTTTTCTCATCTTCTCATTTGAAGCTTCGAGTAATTGTATTAATTATTAATTGGAATGCTTTGTTCTGCTTAAGTTGCTATAAAGATAAAATTATAGATTGTACACATTGATTATTAAAAAATAAATTAAATTTTGTAAGGAAACTCATTTATAATCTTCATCACACTTTTTTAAATTGAATAATACTAACATCTAAATAATTAAAATATTTCATTCTGATTACTTCACTTGACTTTCACATTTGACCTCTTGACCCCCAAGGTCATTTGACCCTTATGATCACTTCGTTCGTCCCACCCGTTTGACCCTTAACTCCGTTTGATCCTTATAATCACTCTTTTCCCGTTGAAACATGAGCGAGGCCATAGGTAACTTATAAGAAGCCCACAGAACTTAACATTTGGGAGGCGATAAAAGTGTCGAGAGTGGGGGTTCCCTGGAGTATCCATGGAAATGATGGGTTGAAAGTTGAAAGTTTCGTCAACATGAAGAATATAGTCGCTCACGGACGGGGCCCTTTTTTACCAAGTGGAATGTACGTTCAATAGAACTAGAATTCGATGATATCTAATCAATGGAAAATCATTGAATAAGTATGCAATTGAAGCTACAGTATTGCTCTATTCGATCCTCTTTGTCTAGTTCAGTTATGTTCCATAGTTTTGGAAATGATTAATTTTGCACAGAGTCATTCACATGTTCTTGAGTCGATACTGTGTATGAACCCCGTACGTGAGGGCTTACTTAATCTCTAAAAAGCAAAAATTCAAGTGTGTTGAGTTGACCTCAACTTCTTCAAATTTCTTTTTTTTGAGCAAAGAAAGTTGGCATACTTGGCATAAAGCAGTACGATACTGAATTCAAATTTTTGTTTTTTTGGAAAGACAATGATATTCTCGGAACGATAAGAAAAGTTTAAAATAGTCCATATTTTGTAAATAGTTCATGTCGGGAGATTTTCCTCCACATGACTTCTGCACTCATTCAATTCGAAAGCCTCTGATTCATGATTCACTGCGTTGAAGCTTTCCGTATTTTGAGGTATTTTCTCATCCCATGACACAAAAAAACGATTTTTGGAGCCAAGGAACTCTCACTTCATCGTGTAGTGTTTAAGTTCAAGTTATGGACACTGCGAAATTCGGACATGGCTATTCTAATTTTTAATTGCTAATACGTACAAAAAAAAGTTTTTGCAGTTTTTGAGTATTTGACAAAATTTTGTGTTTCGGAAGAAATGAAAAAAAAATCCTTTTCAATGTGTATTTCCAATGCAAATGTTTTATTCTTTCGATTGACCATGGTTTCGATTGACCCTAGGATCGCCAAAAATGTTGAAAATAACGTAATTCAATTCCCTCCGTCAGTTAAATGGCGTTTTTTCCTTCATCAAAGTGACTACGATTACGGAAAAAAACTTGAAATAGAGGTCCAATTCGTTCTATACAAAAATATATTTTTTCCATTTTTTCATTTCTCCTTTTTTTTCAAATCGTCTCAATTTTTTCTGTCAAAAGTTTTGGTAAATATCATATAAATAGCATATTTGCTAAGCGAAAAAAATATACCAGGAAAAAACATTCTACACACCCAAAACGTGCTAAAACCCAGCCAACTTAACAGTTTCCCCGGGTCTATTGTTTTTCCGGGACTCGCATATTTGTCTGTAAAGAAAAACTTTAGAAAGGAATTCTCTTTCCATGAGAAAAAAGACACCAATCTCTCTCCTTCCTGCCGTACATCGATTGTCTCATTGTAGATTCTTATTCATCCATTCAATTGTGTATAATAAAATTAATACTAAATGAAAATATCGTTCTGTAACAATGATCAATGAATTTGGGAGCATATTCTGAGATCCACATAATTGATTCGAATCAACGTTTCTTCCCCCGCATTGGCGGCTTGTACGGAACTTGCGATTGCAATGGCATATTGTGCATACGTGAAGCTTTTTGTCTGAAGTCCACATTTTCATTCTTATACAGATCAGGGTGATTCATCCGAACGTGCGACGAGAGGACTTCCCGCTTTTGAAGGTCAGCTGAACAGTAAGGGCATAAAAACTTCTCCCCTTTGTGGTGAACCCATGCATGATCCTGTACTAATATTGAGCTTCGAAAAGTTCGCTTAGGACATCTTTTACAGGCCCATAAATCCTCCCAGTTGGCCTTACTAGGCCCTTTGCGAAGGCACCATTCACTCCAGTCAACCTTCAAGAAGCTCTCCAAAACCAGACAGCAATAGTCATTTCCTACATTAAGTAGTATTTTTTTTTGTAGAAGAGGAGAATTATGCCCCCCCTCAGCTTCTGATAAGGAATGGCTCGCTTGATTAAGATTTGCGGATGACCTTCCGCTTACTTTTTTCGTTGAAGAAGGTTGTTTATCATCTGCTGTCACAGAAGAGTCTCGGTTTTTCTCCGGGTCAGGCTCATTGGGTTCGACTTCCATCACTTCTGCTCCTGTGACTTCATATTCATCGGATTTTTTTCGTAGAATAAGGGGTTCCATTGTTCGATTTATTTCCTCCTTCACAATAATTTCAGCCTGAGAATGATAGTTTTTCGGTTCCGAAGATGCTGACGAAGTGCCAGGCTGGCACTCGTGCGTTGTTAAGAATGCATCAGGTATTGTTGTGATAAACTTCATCATACATGGACGATATTCCGTACTAACGTTTATTAGTGTCTGCTCTGATGATACTTGTTTTTGATTGCCGGGTGCAACTCGCTGAGGTTCAATGAATCCTAGTTGAATGCTAGTTTCGGGGATGCCATTAACTGTAGCATCCGATTCTTCCTGTGATGTTGAATTCACCATCGCAACTCTGTTTTCATTGGGTATCATTTTCTCCTGAGTATTTTTGCATCTCTGTACTTCTTTTGTCGCACGATTCGATTCTGATATTGTTAGAACTATGCGAGATATCGATGGAACCGCGTTATCTTCTGCACGATTCGTCTTGGAGTGTCGACTCTCTTCATAAGTAGGTACTCCCGACTCTAGATCGGTAGCTGTACTGTTGGCTTGGCTGAGTACAATAGTTTCTGAGCTTGGTTCTGTCTGTAATACGGAATTATTTTGAAAATTCGGGTCCTCGGGAATCACCACTTCTTCAGTCTTGAGGGAACCGTATTCATGAATCACTATTTTGCTTTCTTCTAACCGTGATGACGTTGAAGGACTCTCCAAGTGCGAGTGCATCTCGTTAGACATCAAATGTTCAAGCTCCATTGTTAGTGCCTGTATTCGCTCTTCCTTACGGGCGAGATCCTCATCTGCTGCGTTCAATTTCTCCTCCAATTTTTCAATCTTAACTTGGGCTTTTTTCAAGTCTGTTTGCAGTATATTTATCTCGTAATTTGACTTTTCTATAATTTTATCTTTTATCTCAATGTTCAATTTTTGAAGCTTTTCCAATTCAGATAATTTCTTCTTAAGATTTTCGTTCTCTTCCTGAAGACTTTCCACTCTCCTATCAAGACCAAGTACGGAAGTACTACCTGAAGGGAGAAAGCTCAGTGCGGTTGGTGTTTCGGACCTTTGACGCTTCGAGGGTCTGACATGATTATCAGGCGATGAAGGTCGGGAACTGGAAGTTATCTCCATCTGAAAATTTCAATCGTTCATTGACGCATTGACGCATTCTATGTTATCTTAATAGTTATGACTAATTCTACGCCAAATCGGAAGCCCAAAAAAGTCGATGTCGGGCATTTTCTTATCATTTTATTTCTGCAAATCTAGGCATTAGACAAACACTTCGAAAAGCAAATTCAAAAATATGGATAAATGCATTGGTTATGATTTTCTATAAAATTCATTTTTTTCGATGACAATTTTGTTATTGGTAAAACTAAATAATTTTTAACCCTAGATTGATCACCCTATGAGAGATAAATTTAAAAAAAATTGACTTTGTCAATTGAAGTGTTTAAAAAATTAGAGTCATTTTTAGAATAATATATTTCCCAAAATTTCTAAAAAAAAAATTGTTTTGGACAGGTGAATTATTTTTTCCATGTAATATGAAATTGCCCATCAAATAGAGCACTATTCTCGGTGTTGGATGCTGAAGGTGGAGTTTTGTTTGTGAGAATGTTCTGGAGAATATTTGAGGAAACACGGAGTAAAAATAACGCACTCTCAACACTGTCTTAGTTCCACAATAAAAGGTTATATTGTCACTCAAAAATAGCACTAAAGGGTTATGGTGTAATCGCACTAACAATTAATCTAGCAAGTGCCAGGAAAAGCTTTAACTACTGTATAGAAGGTCATGAAGCAAAAGCAAGGCTGTGATGAAGCAAAGCAAAGTTGTGATGATTAACTGTTAGTTTGTCTAATTGTGGTTTTGTGCTAGTATGAGTGGAACTACTGTGATTGAGTACTGTGATAAAACTAAACGTGATTAAGTGCTGTGATACGATAAATAACTGTGATTTTGTCCTAAGCTCTACACCACTGATGCGCACACAACGAGATCACAACGATAAGAGACCGAGAGAAGTACCTTTTGGCGGAATACGTGAGAGACAGGACTGTTGACCAGTGTCCATCAAGTACTGCCGCATGAGCCTGATGTGACAGGTCACTAGTTGATTGATTGAGAGTGACTGATGTGAGAATGTGTGAGTGCATGGAAACTCGCTAAATGCGCCCGGGTAGTGTAGAGTGAATTCGGCAACGCTAAAGCCTAAATAACACGGCGTGGAATCCCCGCGCCGGTGACCAAGGCGCAGGAACCCGTTTGGTGACCGCAGACTAGGGTTAAGAAAATCATTTTTTTTTATGACATTGAAGTTTGCAGATTTCAATCAAAGAAAATTTTTAACATTGCATATCTCGTCAGGAAATTGTGATATGTATAAAAAATCAAATTCTATGAGTAGGGTATGGAAAAATTTGAACGTGGTGGTTGCTATATATGTTAAAATATGATATAATATTAATAAATAGGCTAGTGTATTCAAGACAAGTTTGTGAAAAACACTCAACACGGAATATCTAGCCCTAGAATAACGCTATTGAAAAAAGTAACAATCTCACAGTTCGAACTCAGTGGAATCTCATCGTGATATTTTTTTGTTTTTAATTTTTTGTACCCATGGACGACTAATTCACTGATATGCAATAAAACTTTGTCAAGCTGTAGTGTACACATGAGGGGCTCAATGAAAAAAACAAAAAAGGTCACGTTTAAAAAATAGTAAAATCTTCTCGTGACTATTTTTAAAATATTTTTTCAATGCTCTACCTTCATTTTATGCAATGTTGTTTTTCCTGCCAATCATTAACATTGAATATCTCTGAAATTAATTGGGCGATTTTGAAAATACAGCCACAAATTCTGAGTCATATTAATATCTTGACGTGAAGATCTTCATAAATGGTTTTCCATTGTTCCAATTTCGGAAATCTCAAAAATTCGACAGGGAAATGCTATCAACAGAGAATATCTTCCATAAAAATAATGATATGGCGACGCAATGGAATGTTATGATTAAATTTTTCATCTATGCTTTGGTGAGCTCCGTGATTTTCCTCTTATTACCCATTCAAGAGCTGAAAATGTCGTTCTATAAACGAAAACCAATTTTTCATGGACGTATAACGTGATAAAATGAATTTGCATGGGTCCATCCTTGAAAATGGAATAGACGCAGTCTTATAGATTATTTTACGTTGATTCCAAAGCCGTTTGATAAGTTTCTCTAGTATAGTTTTTGAAAAAATAAAAAATTATTGAAGTATTGGAAACAATGCAAAATGGACAATTCGAAAGAAGAATAATAGATTGCATGATTAGGTTTACAAAGTGTTTTCGGCCGAGTGACAAAACTAATCTTCCTGTACAATATCTGTCTGTTACCAAGACGAGCTATATTTTATGATACACCCAAGTAGAAATTTCGCTCAGATTTTCTGGGCCTAAGTCAGTTTTAGATCCACTGCTNGCCGTTTGATAAGTTTCTCTAGTATAGTTTTTGAAAAAATAAAAAATTATTGAAGTATTGGAAACAATGCAAAATGGACAATTCGAAAGAAGAATAATAGATTGCATGATTAGGTTTACAAAGTGTTTTCGGCCGAGTGACAAAACTAATCTTCCTGTACAATATCTGTCTGTTACCAAGACGAGCTATATTTTATGATACACCCAAGTAGAAATTTCGCTCAGATTTTCTGGGCCTAAGTCAGTTTTAGATCCACTGCTGGTCAGGATTTTCTGATCAGATCTCCCAGATAAGGATCCAGTCATCGCCTGAATAGATTATCTGCATCCGGGAGATCGCTCAAATATTTCAGATCCGATTCTGATCAATCACAAATAGCCAAATTAGACTCAACATTTTTCATTCAGTTTGGATCTGAAACGTCTGACCTCAACCCAAGCTTGAATCAGGGCCCCTATTCTGGACATTGGTAAATTCTTCTTCATACATGAATTGCTGTTCGTCCACGAACAGTAAATGAGAATCGTATAGCCGATTCGTTGAAGAATGCCGATTCGTACACGAAAAAAAAACACCAACTTCGAGAATAGGTACTAATCAGATGGATTTGATCTTACACTGGTCAGGGAGTTTGGATTCATTACTGAATGAATAATCGAAGTTATTCCATTTTATCAAGAATTTAATGGGTCATTAGCGTTTCAAAAAAATTAAAAAGGTCTTTGTATCGACTCCACTCTCCCCTAGTCCTCACCCCGGCTCCGATTATGAAGCCACGTTGGCCGTAAAATACTTTGTGAATCTAATGATGCAATCTATTACTGATCTTCCGATTTGTCCACTTCGCCTCGTTTTCAATACTTTAACATTTTTTACTTCAAAAACTATGCTAGAAAAACTTTCCAAGCGGATTTGGAATCAGCGTAAAAATATCTATAACACACAAAAAATGAAATTTTATTTTAAGATTTCAAAGACCTCAAGTTGAGACTTTCGAAGCCTCAAGTTGAGAGTTTCGAAAATCTCAAGTTGAACACACAAAAAATCTAACGTTCACTGAACCCCAACCTTAACGGGTTGAATCAACCCTACTTATGGGTTGAACAGAAAAAAAGCTGAGGTTCATTGAATCTCTGCAAAGGTTGATTCAACCCTTCTTGAGGTTGATTCACCCCCAAATAGAGAGAATATCCACAATGGTTGAATCACCCCCAATTTGGATGTAAATAAGCCCTTATTTGGGGATCATTCAAATTGAGGGTGATTCAACATTTGCAGGTGTTTAGTGAACGTTAGACTTTTTTCTGTGAAGCCTGAAAGTTTCAACTTAAGACTTTCACAGTCTCAACTTGAGACTTTCGAAAGTCTCAACTTGGGACTTTCATAAGTTTTAATTTGAGATTGTAAGTCTCAACTTGAAATTTTTTTTTTTTTTTGGGTGAAGATTGTCAGTTTAATTTTTTGGGGATGAACACAACTGAATTCATTTTATCGCGTTATTCATCCATGAAAATGTGGTTTTGACTTATACAGTGACATTTTCAGCTCTTGAATGGGTAAGGAGAGGAAAACCATGAACCTCACAAGAAGATAGGTGAAAGATTTAATCATAACATTCCATTTCGTCGCCATATCATTATTTTTATGGAAGATATTCTCTGTTAATAACATTTTCCTGGCGAGTTTTTGAGTTTTTCGGAATTGGAACAATGGAAAACCTTTTTTGAAAAACTTCACATCAAGACATTAATATGACTCTAAATTTGTGGCTGTATTTTGAAAATCGATTAATTATTTCCGGAGATATTCGATGTTAATGATTGGCAGGAAAATCAACATTGCATAAAATGAAGGTAGAGTGTTGAAAAAATATTTAAAAAATAATCACGAGCAGATTTTCCTATTTTTTAAACGTGACCTTTTTTGTTTCTTCCATTGAGCCTCTCATATGTACGCTACAGCCTGACAAAGTTTTATTGCATATCAGTGAATTAGTCGTCCATGGGTACAAAAAATGAAAAACAAAAAAATATCACGATGAGATTCCATTGAGTTCGAACTGTGAGATTGTTACTTTTTTCAATAGCGTTATTCTAGGGCTAGATATTCCGTGTTGAGTATTTTTCACAAACTTGTCTTGAATACACTAGCCTATTTATTAATATTATATCATATTTTAACATATATAGCAACCATAACGTTCAAGTTTTTCCATACCCTACTCATAGAATTTGATTTTTTTATAGATATTACAATTTCCTGATGAGATATGCAATGTTACAAATTTTCTTTGATTGAAATCTGCAAACTTCAATGTCATTTTTTTTGTGGGCAATAAAATTTCCCCCTCGTTAATGTAGTATTTTACGATATAATCCTATGGGGGTCTGTCACATCAAATGATTGTGGTACAATAAATTATGTTTTTCTGCAAACAATTCGAATAATTTTTAGTGGTCATCACAAATATTGAATTTTTGTGACAGATTTTAAATTTTTTTACATCAAGTGGGTTAATTTCCCTCAAGGAAATCTGTTCCACTCCATCAAATATTCTCTCGCGGGACATACAATTTTTCGGTAGTACTAATTTTTGGTGGTTCGTCTTATTTTCCTCGACATTTTTTCCCCGATTTTTCTTCCCCGACATTTATTCCTCCCCAAATTTTCCTCGCATCAATTTTTCCTATGCTACTTTTCCCACGTTACTTTTTCACCCACTTTTTCCCCTTCTAATTTTCTAATTCAATTTATATATTTTGACGTACATTTGGTCAAAACAATTGTTGATTGTAATGATAAGTGGGGATTATCCTTCTTTTGTAAGCCTCGACCGAATTACGATAACCCTTATTGATTTTCGAGTGTGTATTGATTTTTTAAATGAGAGGAGATAATCTTCGGCTATTGGACCTGAGTCATGACCGAAAGTATGCAACTATGACAGTTTCAATAAGTTATTTGCGCGGATAGTCGCCACAGTGCCTTTGGAGTTTATTTTATCGTCGAAAAGGAAGAAACTGTTACTTGTGGATAATCATCTCCATTGTCTCACGGTAATTCTTTATTCATTTTTGCAATTGACGTCTTGTTTCATCGATGACGATGAAATTAATGAAATTCGTAATTGAAATTGAGTGTCCATTTTGAGTGATTGAATCGCATGTAATATTCTGTGGGACTATTCTTGTAATATTCAATTTTTATAAACATGATTATGATTTGTATTAATTTTTCTTCATTCACTTTACTGTTCGTAGAGATTATTATTTACTCAGGTATTGATGGGAAAAAGAGGAGACAGTTTGTTTTAGGAAAGTCTTTCGGGGAACAAAGGGACAGGGAAGAAATGGCAATTGGAAGAAATATCAGGGAAGAAAAGTCGTGGAACCCTAGTTTTTTCTCTACCAATGTCTGTGGCCGATTGGATTAGACGCAAGTCTAGTGTGTGGAAGGTCGCGAGTTCAATCCCATGGGGAACCGAATTTTAATACTTAAGGCTCTGACGAGCGGACGGTTGCTAGTAGAGTAACCGCATGTACCAGGATGGGTTTTCTGGTTTCCTGTGGTTTCCTACTACTTCTGTGTTCTATAGGAGTGCGAATGCGGTACACTTGTTAATCCACAGTCGCACGCATAGGGCTGGATAGTACCGACAGGGACTCAAAAAGGAATTTGGAGGCCGTAATTGAGAAAAAAAAATTCTCTCAGTGTACTGCTGATAGAATTTTATATGTTGCGACGTAAGAAATATCTCAACCGGAAAACATTTTGCAGCGTTTTTCAATTTATTCTTGCAGCCAGTAAAACAAGCGGTAACGCCATTATCAGCTATCACTTGTTTTACCGACTCAACAAAAAAATAAGAAACATTACAAATTCTTTTCTGTTCCTGAGAAACGCAGCCCCTCTTACTACCGCAGTAAGTGGTTCATGAAAAGAGCCCATTTTATTCGATTACTTTTTTGCATGTTTCTTATCAAACGCATTGATGCTATGGAGGTTCCACTCACGTTCATGAATTAAATTTCTCATTTGTTGATAACTTTAAAATGGTCAGGAATAACAATTTCAGAGGTTCATAATCAAAAAATTACAGCTTTGTACGAGCAATCTAGTATTTCAGCATTATATGAATTAAAATTGCTTCTAAAACTACGATCACCTTGATTTTTCAGATGTTCAAATGCTTTATTTAATAAAATAGACAATTTTCCATTCTTTGAAACTGAAAAAAGCTGCCTCAATCAACCGGTCTCAAGTAGATGTAATCGTTCTGTGCTTTAGTATTTGTCAATATTATCCTTATAAACTCGACAATAATTTTTGTAAAAAAAATTGTAAGTTAAAATTGTAAATTGCCTTGAAAAGAAATTTTAAAGAAAAAATTGGCTAATACTCCCTTACAAGCATATTAGAAATTTCGATATGAAAAATTATTTCTTCTCGCCACAACAGTATCAAATGCATGATATACCGTTTGGTTAGTGAACATCAAACAATAACCATAACCTCGTATTCATTTCAACTGAATTCAACTGAATTACCTCGATTATTCGTTTAGAACTCTCATTCGCCTAGTAATTACGGTTGTTTCCAACGTCCTTTAGGGGTTGGGGTTCCCCCGACTATATTCTCTAGTACACCTTACCGCCAACAAGGGAGAGATGTTGGGATCAGAACAACCCGCGATTTCTAGTCGGTGCTACTGCGTGCGCGTATAGCGAAGAGGCGCTTGCTACATAGACACTATGTCTGTGTGAAGAACACATGTGTGATCGCAACCGAAATCTCTCATACATCATGGCGAGAGTTAATGGTTTAAGGGGTCTCCTCAGTAATATTTTCGGGCATAGAGTGGGGGTAAAAATCAAAGACGCCGACAGTCAGCTGCAACTTCTAGAAAAAAAAATGAGATGAAAGATCTTCGTATCCTTTGATAAAAACTACCCAACATAAATTATTTTCACTTTATTAGAGATAATAACTTCCTCAGAAAATGATTTTTTAGATTGAAAATCTTCCTATAATTATGAAAATTGAAATAAATTAGTGATGTCAACTTGGCAACAGCGCGATTTAGTTTCAAGGAGTTGGTACTGATTCGGTCGGTAAAAACATATCCTTCCTGAGTATCATCGTGTCATGTGGCTAATGTGCTAATGGAGTAGAGGTTATATCAGCTCATCGTAAACAACAACAAATATTCGTTTTAAAAGAATTAATAACTGCAGTCAATAGTTAATTGTGACAATGGAAAATTCAGAGGGAACCAGGGTCAGATATAAAGGAAAATTCATCAAGAAAAAACGTTTAAATCAGCTGTTATCTCAAGTTCACGTTGGCAAGAATAATAAAGGCAGAACAGTTCAAGTGGTTCAGCCGATCCTCGACGAACAAAACGGAGATGTGCCAGTGAAAAAAAGAAAATTACAAAATGAAGGAGTAGGAGGAAACCTGTGGGTTTCCACACAAGATGAAGAAGAGCAGAACAGTGCTGATGAGTGGTTTGAATCTGCTGATAATGATCCAGGAGAATCAGTGTCCCCAGAGCCATTTACTGGCAATCGCATTGTGGATTTGAAGTTATTGGGCGAGGCTTTCGTATGTGAAGCATGCAATCATCCTCTGTCTGTGAAGGATATTCAGGCAGAGAGAAGAAAAGGTCTTGGTTCATATTTATTTATCAAATGTTGGGAATGTTTGAAGATACGGAGGGTGCCTACCAGCAAGTGCCTGCCAGACCGAGAAGATGGCAAAAAAGAGAATTTCGAGATAAATTTTCAAGCTGTTCTAGGTAAATATAAAAAATTCTTGTTCTTCCCTGTTGGTATTAATAATAATAATCGCTGTTGGTACTAATAGATTGTTAAATTTTATAGGTTGTATTCATGCTGGAATCGGAAACCAACCATTCAATAAACTATTGGCACCCTTGAGCATTCCCCCCTTCTATTATAACACCTTCCAGTTCTACGAGAAAAAAGTAGGCCCAGTTATCGAGACTATTGCTAGAGAGAGCTGCGACAGAGCGACAAAAATTGAAAGGGAGTTAACAATAGCGAATAAGAATGATATTGAAAAGATGGTGTCAGTATTTTTCGAGGGGAACTCCTGTGTCAATTTTTCGTCATTTCAGAGTGAAAACACCCATCAGTGAGGATGGTTTTCGCCAAAAGTTTGGAATTGGAAAACAAATTTCCATTTATTTCTACAAAAGAAAATATTTTCAAGAGAGAATTTCTACATACATCCATTTTATCTGAAATGAACTTTTTTTTTATGAGTTTTTCTCAATCAATTGAATTTATCTTGAAATATATATATTTTTTTAATACTCTTGTGAGCCTTTTTTTATACTCTATTGAGTCTTTGTTCTTTTTTTTTTAATTGGAAAATCGGCGAGTTTTCTCCCAGAATCATTTCGCCTTTGAGAAAAATGGCTGAGGGGGGTATTGGCTTGGATGATTTAAAAAATGCTTTTGTCAGAGGTGGCGAGGATGAAATGTTAAAATTATTGAGGAGTAAAATCAATTACAACCCTCGGTCATTCAACATTGCAGACTGTTATACAAAAACTGGAGATTACTTGCAGAAGATAACACCAAAATAATTACCTCACCAAATATTTTGTTTTATAAGATTGAAAAACTAATGTGATTAAAAAACATCATCCTATTGAATAAATTCAATTNAAGATAACACCAAAATAATTACCTCACCAAATATTTTGTTTTATAAGATTGAAAAACTAATGTGATTAAAAAACATCATCCTATTGAATAAATTTAATTATTTATTATTCAGAAAATCTCAATTGAGTTTTATTCATCCAAATAACCCGCACTAGAATGGCGCGCATGCGCGTCGAGTGCTCTGCCGCGATGTTGCCCAGTCTTCCCGCCATTTCTACATAATCAAGTATCTATTCCAAAAAATTCTGTGGTTTTTCAATAATAACTAAATAACTAAGAGATAAAACATGATGAAATTTCATGAGTAAAGAGTTCAAACATAAACAGTGAGTTAGGTGCAGAGTCTGGACGCCCAGCACATTGTCCATGCTAGCTTTTTGTTGTTTTGAGGCCGTGTCTATCCACCCTGTGCATTAGCATTATTTTTTATTTTCTGAGTTTTTTATCCACATGATAAACCTATTCCGGATTCTGAGAATTAATTTAGAACTACTTGAATATCACACTATCCAATTCTCCACATTGTGGCACATTTCCTAATTTTCGCCACAAAACGACAATGTGCTAGCGAATTGAATATGTAATATAATAATCAAAAATGGTAAAAGGAAAATTGTAAAAAAAACTCTGAGTAATTTTATCGTTTCATTCGTTTTCAATTAATCATTCGAATTTCTGCTTATACATGGGCTTTAAGAACGAAATTTTGTCCCTTACCCCTCACCCTGTTGACAATGTGCTAGCCAACAAAAGAAGCTATATTAATTCTGTCGTGAATTGGTAAACTAGGATAAGTGCATTTTTTTCGAAGATGCGTTTTTTGGCCAAATCGCTTCCCAACAATGGTCTGCTACGACCCACGAAGGGATTTAGCGAAAAAACAAAAATTGACCCCAGTATGAAGAAAAAGTGCGAAAGATAAGTGCAGTGCATTAACTTGTTGGAAGATATATTGACTTATCTTCCGAAGTGGAACCGATGGGAAAAGGATAAGTTGACTTATCTTTCTGGTACATTGGTGACCCTCATGTCTGGTTTCCGCACCTAACCCTCGTAACCCTTCCTTTGACCCTTTCACCCAATTCCAGCGAACCTCCATTTTTACTCTCATTCCGGTTTCTTTGTTCAGACCCTTATCTAATTTTTCGATTTTACACCCGAGTGTTTGGATTTATAAAACCCCAGTGTTTGAATTTTAAGGGTCGTCTTTCAAGGGGTCACGTGACCAAATTCACTTTTACTATTTACAGCCAAAACAATTCCTTCATTTTAATAAAACCCAATTTCCGACCTGTAGTCATGACTCCCGTATGTCAGAAATTGGCTTTCATGAAAATCAGGGAATTATGTTGGCTGTAATTAGTAAAGGTGACTTGGGTCACGTGACCCTTGTGAAGACGGCCCTTAAATCTGGTTGAATGATAAATTTCAAACAGTTTCGGTTTTATTGGAAAAAAAAAATTATAGAAACAATGCAATTTTCTAGTTTTTAAAAATTATGGAATTGAACACAAACAAATATATCGAAACAAAATAGTTAAAAGGCAAGAGTACTGGATATTTGAACGCCGTAAGTCCACCATATTAAAAGGGTGTATGCGGGGCAAAATGGGTATTTCGGGAACTTGTAGGATTGAGTGGGGGTAAAATAGGTATTTCGGAAACTTGTACGATTGAATGGGGGCAAAATGGAGTTTTCGGGAACTTGTACGATTCAATAGGGTCTTAATCGGTAGTTATTAACCTTATATGATTCAATGGGGGCAGAATGGGTATTTTCTGAACTCATACGAATCAATTGGAAGAAAATGGGTATTTCTTGAATTTGTACTTTCGCATAGAGGGCAAAAATTATATGATAATTATTTTGAATAATTGTGTCAATTTATGAACATGACTGCCTCTCGAGTTATAAAATTATTCTTTTATGAATCACGTGCTCTCAAAACTAAGCTATCCGGCTAGTAGCCATATTCTCCTCAGGGTTGGGCACGTAAAATACGTCAAGTAAAATACCTAGTATTTTACACGTATTATACCATGTATTTTACGTCACTTTTTTTTAGATGTATAAAACGTAAAGTAAAATACGTTTTATACGTCACGTATTATACCATCTATTTGACATCAATTTTTACAATTATAAGAGTGAAAATAATGGACTTACGTCAAACGTCTCGAGGCTTACGAGGGCTACAAGGGAAAAATTTAATTTCTTGAGGGTCAATTGTCACGAGAGCCACGTGGGTAAAATTTAATTTCTTGAGGGTCAAACGTCACGAGGCTCACAAGGGCCATAAGGAGAACATTGAATTTCACGAGGGTTCCAAGGGGAAAATTAAATTTCACAAGGGTCAAGGAACATTATATTTCACGAGGAACAAATGTCACGAGGTTTACGAGGGCCACAAGGGAAAAATTGAGTTTCACGAGAATGAAACGTCACAAGGCTCGCAAGGGGAACATTAAATTCACGAAGATCAAATGTCATGAGGCTCACGAAGCCCACAAGGCGAAAATTGAATTTCATGAGAATCAAACATCACCAGGCTCATGAGGGCCACGAGGGGAAAATTAAATTTCACGAGGGCCAAACATCACGAAGCTCACGAAGCTCACGACTCTCACGAGGGCCACGAGGGGAAAATTAATTTTCACTGTATCAAACGTCACGAGACTCACGAGGGGAAAATTAAATTTCAAACGCCTCGTCCCACTCGTATCGAAATATACTATTTTTCCTCCTGGCCTTCGTAAGCCTCGTGACCTTTGATCCTGCTGGGTGCCCTCAAAATTTCTAACATGTAAAAAACTGTATACTATATTTTATACATTTTTTACGTATTATAGTTATTTGCATTCGTCGCAGACTTTCAAGTTTTACTTGCCCCCCCCCCCTCCTTGATAGGGACAAAGACAAGAAATCTGCAATGAAGGAGAAAATTATTTTCTCCGTCAGTGTGGCCCTCGTGA